TCATTACATAACAATTAGATATTATGATTTATTTTATTTAAAAAATTATCTAAATTTTTCTATTGATTATTTTTAGACGTTTGTTTAAAATTTCATTATTATTGATTTTACCAATCAAAACATTAAATATCAATATTGTATAATTTACATTATATATAATTTAGCTATTTATTCATTTATTTTAATATGCGTATTCTATATATTGATGATTTTTTAAGCATTTATTATAATACATAAATCAAAACATGTATAATTTATAACTAAAGCTCATTTTCAAAAAATATATATCAAAACTTGAATAAAAGTCATTTAAATAAATATAATAATAATAAGTAGAAATAGTGGTGTTTTGGAAAACCGATAGATATCAATGACCCAAACCATTACCGATCGGATCCATACAAATAAAGATATGCAAAGACATTGTGTGATATATACTGTATTTAGGGAACCAAACAAATCAATCACTTAAACGTCAACACAATTGCCAACCAATATTTTTTTGGTAATATATTTTTTCTTTCGTATTATATTTAGATAAATCCTTTTGAAAAATTATCATTAGGTTTAACGACATATTTATGTAAATATGATCTATATTATACATTATTGTATCTATATATATATATATAAATATATATAAAGTTATATTTTATATATAGATACTGAATATATATGATATAATTTATAAGTTTATGGTTAAATTATAGTTGAATACCGTTATATTTATCATAAATGTTTTGCTTATTCTAAATAATGTTTTATACAAATATTTTTTTGACTAAATATATAAATGTTTTGTTTGATGGCATTTGAAGAAGAAAAACAAGTAAAAGAAGGGACGAAAAGACAAATTATCCTTATTTTGCTTATTTGTGTTGTCATTCATAGTCACACATACAGTACATTACAGACGGTTACTATTGTATTGAAACTACATTTGTGTGCATTTCATTGTTCATACGTCTCAATACATCACTTTAGCGGTCAATCCATATAATCGTTAAAAACATGAATGCAAACTATGAATACACTAAAATATACAAAAAAGTCACCCATTTGTGAAAAATGTTTATTATATTTACAAAAATATAGATATATAAATGTTTGTAATGTTTAATATATAAATATAATATAAGTTAAACAATATAAAGAATATTCTGAAATATTTTATGTAATAAATGTATTAATTTTGTATACATAAATGCTTACAAATTTGCCATTAATTTAACATTTTAACGATACATATCTTTGTAGTTGCAAATGTTTTACATTGTTTTCATATAAAATCAATTGTTAATTTTCATAATTTATTAATATAGTCATTTTAGATTCACAAATAATGTGTTGTTAAATTTTTTTTAAAAATATTTTCAATGTGTTTTTATTAAAACCAAAAAACAAAAAGCAAATATCCATTTCATTAAAATGTTGTTTAATTTGTTAATTTGTTTTGTCTTATATTATGTAATAAATGTACTGTTTTATAACGTTAGTACCAAACAATAAATTTAAATGAAAAAAATTAATGGATTACATACAAACTTTTTATGTATTAGTAAGTTATATAATGAATATAATAGTACAGTCATTATGCAGTTGATATTGTAGAGTACAAACAACAGGCATACCAGTGGTAAAATGCAGTGATGGCTATACTATACTATCAATATTACATAACATTTTATACAATATACTATGTGCTGGCGTTTCTTATCTATTTATGTTAACAATTGAATACAAACGATGTTTTGTGTAAATATAAAACACCAGTGAATGAAATGATAGAGAATATAACGCTTATAGTGTATATAATATGTATCTCTAGAATATATATATATTAACATTCAATATATATGACATAAAATATTGTGCTATTGGTTTTTGGATAAAAAAAATAAATGTTGTTTTTCTTTATTGTCAGTTCTATGATCTACAATATACTGTATATACATAGTATATATTCAATATATACCGTATATATATAATATATACTGTATATTGAAATAATTCAATTTTATACGTAAAGTCACCGGACATTAAAATAATGTGAAGTAAATTCTGTGAAGGAATGTAAACTATTTTTGATTCATATGAAAGCAAACATTATGAATATTTAACCATTAGATCGATATCCTATTAGTTTACAAACCAAATATAAATAACTATTAAATTTTCTAATAATTTTACATATTGTTGTTGTTGTTGTTGTTATGCATCAATGTATGGTTAGGATATGTTAGTATCTAAATATAAAATTTATATTTAGTGATGGCTGCTATCATTATGCTATTATGAGTATCTACGGGATTACTAGACTACAAAAAATATGATTAATAAATAAAATTACAAATAAATAATGCTGTCTATTATATTGTACTGTATTACATTATATACAGTATGTATCATAGTATATGATGTACTCTATATTAACATTACAGGTATATAATAAAAGAAAATATTATTATTTGTTATTTATTTGATGTTAAAGTCTCATATTATCAATTTTGTGGTTTTCGATGAATTTTAGTTACACTTTATAAAATTGACTTTTTTATATTTATTTTTGTAATGATTTAGATAATTACGTTAAAAAGTGCTAAGTATAACAAATAAACGCTTAATTAAATTGACAAATATCATTGGCATTGAATATATTCATTAAAATAACAAATTAAAATGAATACAAATAATTCTCTTTTTATTTTACTTTTTTACTAAATTTTTTTATTTACCAACTTATAAATAGCAAGCATTAATATAAGACAGCATTTGATTAAAATTTAATTATAATATATTGTTTTATAAAGCAATGTCTTAATATCATAACATGTTTTATTTATTTAAAATAAAATAAACATTATTTACATTGCTTATTTTATAATTTATTTTTTATACTAATCTATAAGTATATAAATATTTTCTTTATTTAATTTGTAAAAAGCAGTTATCAAAAATATACGTATGCTATGTTTTTTTAATTAATAATATTACTATTGATTCTATTACAAAAATAAATTCTATAAAAATTAAAACCGCTATAAATATAAACTTTTTTATATAGTTTTATTACATTTTTCGATTTAAAATATTTTTAAAAATAATTAATATCTATAAAATAATTTTAATTTATTTAAATATATATATATATATATATTTAAATATTTGTTTTAAATGTAAATAGAGATTTTATAATTAAATTGCATTAATACATACGTAAAATCAACAATAGACTGTTAAACATACCTGTATTTTATTTTATAAATACAATGTTTATAAATAAATAATAAAAATGATATATTCTTGTATTATATATATTTTTATTATAATATAATTATATTTAATTTAAATATTTCTAATATTGAAATAATTATTCATAAATTTAGATAAATATTTTGAATATATACATAAAATTTGTATAAACATTAAGTGATAATTTCTGAAATAAAGTTGTAATTAATCATAAATGCAAAACAAAATTATGAGTTTCTTTGTCTTTTTTATATCTATTCAATAAAATTTCATTTCTTATGCATAAAAGGCATAAATATATTCTTTTTTATTTTACTTTTTGAATATAAATTTACTTAATTTGTTCGTAAAATAAATAAAGAAATATAACATAAAAAAGAGTGAATAAAAATGAGAGACAAATAGTAAAACTTGCATTTGTTTCACTGTTTTTCATTACAAAAGTTGTAGACATTTTCAATTAGACCCAAATCCCGGTGTCATTGGTTGTCATTAGTAAACATGAGTGCAAGCAATTGTATCCTATCTTTTGTTAATATTTTTCTACATTAATACTAATGTAATTCAAAAGAAAACAATCACTCAGAAAGATATATAATATAATAAGTATAATATGTAGATATATATTCATTACTTTAATCATAACAACAATAATAAGAAAATCATTTAAATTGAAAAAAACTTTAGTTTACTTAATATATACTGTAAATACTAAGTAATAAAACTTGCTATCTATTACATTGTAATTTAATGTAATGTAATTTCAATATTTATTATTGTGTGCAAATCTCTTTACATTTAATCTTCAAACATCTAAATTAAATATTTAGATTCTTTACTTTTATTTTGTAAATTCTATTTAATTAAATATTGAAAAATATATAATAAGATTGCATTATTGTATTTTAATATATTTTTAATTGAAAAGTATAAATTCATGTATTTTTAATTATAAATATTTCACATTTTGTATGCAGTTTTGTAACTCAATAATTAATAATACTTAAAATGTCAAAAACAACACAAATTGATTTTACTTAAAGTAATTTAACCTTTTATATTGTTAGTACAGTACTTACTTAAACATTATATAAATCAATATTGTTGTTAAAATATATTAAATTGTTGGGCAAAATATAAACTAATCCTCTTATTTATAAACTTGTAATGATTTTTTGGTTTATATCAGAAGTTATGATTTTTGTATTGAGATCAGAAAAATAAAGAAAGTGCCATAAAATTTGTTGGTTAGTTCACTAATTTGACAATACTGTCCACCCCATCATTTATAAAAAAAATTAAATAAATTGTACCAAAAAAATGTTGGGAAACTTCATTAGCATTAGCATAACATAAATTGAATGTAACATTCATAGGAAAACATTATTCAAAAGTGAATTTCATTGACTATTGGTTTGGTATCATTAGGAACACCCTAATCAACCAAACCGTACTCTTTTCTGAATACAATATGAATCAAATGGCACATCAATTGTGAATAAACCTATTCTTTGCTTTTTTTCACTCAATACACGCACCCATTGCTCGGCCTAACTATCATTAGAATAGACACAAAAATATACGGTTTATATATTTAAGGCAAATATCGTTACATTATATTATAAATACAGTAAAATATAATACAATTGACTATAAAATTTGGTTCATTTGGTTGGTTCACATCAGATGTTTTATTTTTGAAACTCAAGAGTCAAACAAAACAAAAAAATAAACGATTCTTTGCTTACCTTTTCTTTGTTGTATTCTTAAGATTATTCTTCTTAGTCCTCAATACTAATTGACTGAATGATTGGGGAAAAAGTAATGAATAAAAATTGCAAAACTAATGCAATGATGTCTTTGAAAAACAACACAAACAATCAATTTCTTGTTTGTTGTGTTTGTGTCGATACAATCAACAATACTTTTCGTGATAAATGTCTATAAACCTATAATAATAATAATAATAATAATAAAATAGTATATTGTGTTGTAATAATGTTTTAATATAAGCATTAATTATATAAAATATATATATAATTTTCAATATTATATATTTATATATGAGAAAAAATATAAATAAGATGAAATCACTTGAATTATTTTGTGAATATAACATATTTCAATAGATAAATAAATATTGTACAATAATAATCCTGATTTAAAATATTTATAAAATATAAATAATGAATAAATTTTCTTTATATATTAGCTTATCTTTATATATTTAAATAATAATAATAAAAAACATGAATATTAAAAATTTGTATATACACTAGTATAAACAAATTATTCTTACCTATTGATGAAAAATTTTAAGCAAACTTTACATAAAGTTAATTTAATATAATTCTCGTTAAAATAGTTTTATATGTGTGTCTGACATATCAAATAACACGTTATTTCAATGATGTAAACCATAACCAGTGTGAGAGAGAAAGTGAGTCAGATTTAACATAAATCTCTCTCTCTCTCTCTCTCTCTCTCTCTCTGAATAAATAATCCGTGGACTGTGAGCCCAACTTTGTTCACTTAGATTGTAATATTAAATAAATGTATAGCAAGTATTGCATGATTTTTTGTTTAATAAACGCATAGATTGAGTAATACTTTGCAAATGAAACGTGAATTTAAGAAATTAGAGTATTTGTGTTATGAAAGACAGACAACCGATGCTATGGTTAGAGAATCGGATGGAAAATCCAGTGCTGGTCTAACAGTCTGTATAATACAGGTCTGTATGATACAGGCGCTCACTTATATAGTGTATATACTACTCTATATATGCAGAGGAGTCGACTCAATAATATTCCTTACTCTAAATGATTTTATTTAAAAATATATATACATCTCTCATATTTCATGCTCTGAAATATTATGTTCAATAGTTAAAAGAAAATGAAGTTTTTAGTTTATGTTTTTTACTATTAATAGTTTTATTATAAATATTTTTGTATAAAAACAATATATTAATAATATTAATATTTTAAATTATTTATCTAGTATTCATATGGCAACTTATTATTATCATTATGATATATCTTGTTATCTAAAAATAATTAAATTTACCTATTTAATGTACTATATTTTTTTTATATCGTATTAACAATTTTATAAATATTTAAAAATTAATTAAAGTTTTGTATAATAGAAAAGTTGAATTTGAAAATTAAATTATTTTCTAATTATTTAGTCTTTAAAAACATAAACAGTTGACAGCAATTCTAAACAAAGAGAAAATTAAATTAAATTTATAATATAATCCCAATGAATGAGCGAAACATCACATTTCAATGTTTTAGATTAACGCAAATTTTAATGATTGCTTAAGCGTTAACTGATTTTCACTATATATTTGTCATTACATATCAGTGAGCGAAATATCAGACAATAAGTTAGATAATTATTGATTTATTCATTTAAAGCTATAAATATACAAATTTTAATATATTTTCCTGTTTTGCATACAATATAAAACAACATTTCAAAAAAGCGGAGAAACTCTACAAAATAATAATTATATTTCTAGAGTTAAATGAAAATTTAATTTCAGTTTTTAAAGTTGTTGCCAAATTAAATACACAATAAAAACAAATAAAAAAAAATTTAATTCAAATGTATTGTATTTTTGTTAGTAAATTAATAAATTCACTACAATCTCTTATTAGTAGATATTATTTTTTTATAGTGAATATAGTGAGTGATATAAATAATCTTAACTATCGATTCTGGCCAAACCAAACATAGATCTCAAATTGTGATTCACAATATAAAACATAAATTGTTTAAATTAGATTTCATTAATTATAGATTTCATTAATAAATGTTTTTCTTTGTATAGTAAAAATTTGCAATAATATTCACCACTTGTTGTTTATATCTTTCACAAGTGATTGTCCTTTCGTTGAATAGTTTTTTCTTTTGAAAATCATTTTTGTCTTCAAATTGAAGTATAAAACAAAACAAAAATTTTACTAACGCTTGTTATATGTAATGATTGATTAAATATAGCGTGAGATTTGCCACTAATAGACATAACAGTCTGATTGCACACTACTTTAATGGACTATAAATTTTCACTAATCATATCGTAAATATAAAATATGTTCTCAACACACATAATACACATTTTACACTTGTTTTATGCCTTTAAAGCATAAAATATATGTTTATATTATTTATTAATGTTTATAAATTATAATTGTACTAATATTTTGATTGTATGTTAAAATTATCAAACTGTGAATGTTGAAATAACTAATATCTAATAAGTTATGCTATAGTAATCATATTTGCATAAAATACCTGTTTATATGTTTTTTAACTTAAGATTCTCATTAAGTTTTTTAAGTTTTCATTAAATTTTTGTAAACTAAAAACTAAAAAATATTCTTTATATACTTTAATGTTATTATTTTGAAATTAAAGTATAAACCGTATAAATCTTAAGATTTTTAAAAATTATTAAAATCAGAAAACTTTAAAAGACATTATAAATTATAATTCAATTTATAAATAAAAAACAAATGAAGATTAATACAAAGCACATGTGATTCATATACCGTATATTAAAATTAAAATTTCATTAAATTGTTTTTAAATTTATTGTTTCAAACTTAATGCAATGCAATATTGATATTTAATTAAATATTAGTATTTTGTTTATGAAAGACCCGAAAATAGTAAATAGTAATAATATTTTTATAAGTTATGACATAAATAATAGTATTTTTGTTATTTAGTAGTTATAATATACAGTACATTAAAATTGATTGACTGTTCCTTCATTATTATAAATATTTATCATCGTATCGGGTAATCAACACAATCACCAAAATTATGAATATTTGACTTTTCATTTGTTTATTTTAGGTAAGTCTGAAAAAATTGTGGATTTATAGAGAGTATAGAAGACATTGCATTGAAAGCTTGTTTTATAAATTGAAATTTTCTATAAGTGTTTACATAATGTTTGATTCATATGGAGTACCGACACGACTACAGCTGTGTTTTTATTAGGTCCTTATATATACTGTACTCTAAACTACAGTATAATATTGACTTTGTTTGCCAATGACTATAACATTTGAGTTTACAAATTGAAAATATTATATCAGTTATATACTTATATTTAATAATTAAATATTATATCAATTATATAAATATCAAATATATAAATTTACTATATATATATAAATATAAATCAGGGTTAAGCAAGGTTTTGGATTTTAGAGGGGTATAGTGTAGAGTAGAGGGGTATAGTGTAGAGTAGAGGGGTATAGTGTAGAGTAGAGGGGTATAGTGTAGAGTAGAGGGGTATAGTGTAGAGTAGAGGGGTATAGTGTAGAGTAGAGGGGTATAGTGTAGAGTAGAGGGGTATAGTGTAGAGTAGAGGGGTATAGTGTAGAGTAGAGGGGTATAGTGTAGAGTAGAGGGGTATAGTGTAGAGTAGGGGGTATAGTGTAGAGTAGAGGGGTATAGTGTAGAGTAGAGGGGTGTAGTATAGAGTAGAGTGTATACTCTAGTAGAGTATAGTGTAGACTCTACACTGTAGAGTATACATTTTATTTCATTTTTAAGTAACAATATTTTCAAAATTTCAAAATCTAGGGAATCAATAGAAAATTGCCATTTAGATGGGGGAATTCCCAGGAAAGTAGGAATATATACTTAATAAATTCCTTAAATTTTTTAAATTATTTTCTTAAATTAATATAAACTATTAGATCAAATCCCAAAATCTTCGTCCTAGGGATGGAGTATATTTTCAATACCCCACCCATTGCTTAACCCTGGTATAAATATACAGTATATAGTATATACTGTATGATATTTTAGTTATTGCTTTTCATTATAACATAGATTTTAATAATAAAATATACTCTATATCAGCCGTTATCACAATGATTATACGGTCCCTTACTTGAAAACATAATTACTGACCAAGATAAAAAACAAAAAAATTCTAATACACAAATTTAATAACCTTTTTTATATAATATTAAATAAAATATACTACTTAATTAAAATAAATATGTAACAGTGTATTTGAGCTAGATGAAATATATTTTAATAAACCATAAGCTTCGACAGTGCATTTTAATCAAAATAATCAAAAATCACTTTGCTGATCACCAGTGCTCTATATAGTATATACAATATATGTTTATATTTAAAATGTAAATATTTATAACGATATAAAATATGAAAATGTTTTGTTAAAGTGAGGATATTTAAAATAAATCATAAATAAAATCTTATTTTTTCTTACACTTTATTTTTCCAACTGTTTAATCATATAATGGTTTTAATATCCGGTATTTCATAGGGATATAAACTATTCAATTTAAATGTATATATTTATGTTATAGTTATTTCTATTATAATTTTTTCTATTATTGAAATGACACACAAATCTAGAGGTTATTATACTGGAGATTGCAATTTAAATATTAATCAAATGACAGTAAAACATATTAAATGATATGTCATTGTATTTTGTATGCGCTATGCTATGTGTATGTAAAATATAAGCATTTATTTTTAGACAATTATTTTATTCATTTTATGTATTCATTGTATAACGTATGAAATGTATGTGTTTTTCATTCTTCTATTTGATAATTGATTTATTTAACTATTTTTGTGTATTTTATTTTAAATAAAATTACTTTTAAAACATATTAGACTTTATTAATAGTAACTTATATTTTAAAATATAAATGTTTATATAAGTTTTAAAAATTTTAGATATAAAAATAACATTTTAGTTTAATTGGATATTATTTTTATAAAAGTTTTTGATTGATTGCTAACTTTTTATATTTGCTAACTCTTTGACATATTTTT